AACTTTCAATCTTGACTTGGAGTGAGGAAGCAAACATGTGGAGGCTCACTTCTGCCCAAATCACCTGGACGCAATTAGACAAGTATTTAATCCATTAATTCACTCGTTCGCTCTCCTCTGTTTGAGCAGGCTACATACACATCTATAGGACTACTTTTCATTGATATTCATGAGCCGATGGCAGGGTATAAGAGTGTTATTTACAAGACTTAGATAAGCTTTCTCCGGCCCACGGCGATCCGATTCAATTTCACGACCTGCGCGACGCCATTGGGGAAAAGCAAGCATTATTGGATAACCAAGCACCCAAACATCATTTAAAAACACACCATTGTAGTCCTCCCTGAGTGAAAAACACTAAAGTGACAAACGTTATTCCAACGTGAGGCTCGGAATATTGATCTGGGAAGTGAAATTGGGTTTGTGAAAAAAAGCAGAAGATATTTTTAAACACAATAGCTTTTTCCTTTATTTAGTTAAAAGCAATAGGGAGAAGGGTGGAGAAATTCAAGGGAGAAGTTTAAGATAACATATACAAAGAGGAAAACAACATGCGACCCTACCAAAGCAATCAATGCGAGGACAAATAAGATTGCAAATGAAAAAAAAAAAAGTCTGGATGGCTGGATACTATTAACTTGATCTGAGCATGTATCGATACCAAAAAAAAAATCACATTCACACGACTGATCTTCAGCTTTATCAAAACAAGACACCCATGGAAGAAGTTTAAAGGTGCATTGCGCAACTTTTCTAGTGGAGGGTCCGTTACCTGCTTGTCTCCATGGTGATGTTCTTGTTTTGCCTGGAATGTCCCATGGTATGACATTAAACACGTCGATCTAGCATTTATTCATCACGGGTGTTTCTATTGCTCAAAAATACAATCATCATCTGTGAATAGGATAGGATTGCCTCTCCACAGATCTGAGCTGTAATTTAGCCCAGTTGTCTTCCTTGAGATAGATGGGTTTTGACCAGTGTAGACTCAATTATTTTCTGTCACGGCCTCCCTAGGAAGAAGAAAACATTTCACTCCACAGGACCACTACCAAATGTGGATGAATCGCACCCTCGCCTTCAGTCGCCAACATACAAGAGCGAACGTTTTAGTCGCGTCTCCAAAAGCGACCCCCGGGGACTCACGCAGCATGTGTCCGCTCACCTGTGTCATGAGGCGGTCCGCTCCTGTGTGCTGTCTTTAAAAATGATGTTCGTGTTACAGTTCGGGGCACTTGCGTCTAGAGCCCTGCGTTCCCGTGGGCCTCCTGTGGAACCCGACGCAGAACAGTGCGCCGCGGGATATATTTTGAAAGCTCATTGTGGGTGTGGGCAGGAGCGAGACGACATAACGTGGGAGTGGGTGGGCGGGATGATAAACTGCAGTTCCGCAAATTAAATAAGAGTCTAAAGTAAAATATACAAATGATTAACGTATGCCTATCATGCATAATTTGTGCCGGATATTTTACTTGGCCTTAATAAAAACATTTTAAGCAGCCTAAATTTCCGTATGTGGTCTAATCTCATGCACATTTTAGACAATTCCTGTCCGCTTCTCCGTGTTTGATAGAGTTTAAGAAAGTGAACAAAATATTGCACATGTGGGCGGGAGCGGGACTGAAAATTATAATTCTCTGAGGAAGCGGGCGGGAGCAGGACTGCACAGTACGAGTGCAGGCAGGAGTGGGACAGAAAATTCAGTCCCGCGTAGACCTCTACTTGCATCATCCAGCATGACAGAAACCATGTCTAATGCTGCAGCTGTATCAGCTCCTCTGCTATTGGGTACGCCGCCTTATATGATCCTAACAGTGCTCGCTGGTTTACTGAAGCAGCATTCACAAAACGGGGTGACTGTTGGCAATATTCGGCATGTTTTCGCTGAAAAAACTCAAGCGGCTGATCAGCATAATTGGGGTGTAATGTCTTTCAGCAATGTTGTAATGTATTTGGCTTCATGCTGTCTGCTGCCAACATTTTTAGGCACAGTAAACACAGCGGTCTTTCCTCATTTTCCACCGTAGTCACAGTTAAGCTGAGCGCTACATACAGTTACATACAGTTTGGTCTCTTCACTTCATATTTTCTGCTCTGTGCTGTGACCCAACCCTATAACGCTAATACTCCCTGCGCACACTCTGACAATTAGAGCGTCACTGCCAACTACCGCAGTGGATGTGCAATTACACTTTATTCTAGTACAGCAAAAAAAAAACAAAAAAAACATGCTCCTCGAGGTCATATGCCCCACTATTTGAGAAGGACAAACACCGACTAAGCCATGACATCTTCATGCAGATAAGCAGATCACCAGAGAAGTTGCACAATGTACCTTTAAGATAACATACAAATGGGAAAACAACATGCAATCCTGTTAAGCAATCAATGGAAGGACAAATAACATTCCAAATGAAAAATACTTATAAGTCTTTCTGAATATAAAGTAGTACTATTGCTACTCAGGGTTGTCCATACTGTCAAAAATCATATACTAAAACTAGTATCAAAACTAGATACTCATTTGCGCATGTGTTAATAGTAAAAAAGTCACATTCACAGGACAGATCTTGAGCTGTATCAGTATAAATGTAAGACAGCACAGACACCCATGGGAGAAGTTTAAGATAGCATATACAAATGGGAACACAACAATCAATGGGCAGACAAATAAGATTTCAAATGAAGAAAAAAAAAAAATCTTTGTCTATCATTTAAAAGTCCTGTCAAAATCCTCTACAGGTAAGAGTTGAATAGGAGCAGACAACTGGGAGCGCTGACTTAATAAAGCAGTCACATTGTGTCTGGGCAGACTGGTCAATGCCCCCCTCCCATCACCAGCGTCACCCCCCACCCCTCACCACCCCCCACAGGTGCAATGCATTTTCACAGCGGGACAGGTGGAGGCACTGTGCAGCGCGGGCTCGGAGCAGAGGTCAGCCCATTCAGTTCATCAACACACGAAACCAAAGAACAGTGGGAGAAAAGCAGACGGACGCTCTCAAGGAACCTATTATCAACCCGGGGGGACCGAGCGCGCCCATGTCTCACAATTGAGTTCCTGCAGAGGAAGCTGGAGCCAGGATGTGGACGGGTAAGACAGGGCCACATAAAGATGACAATGCAAGAAAAATAAGGCTTTCAAGGCTCTATGTTACATTATGTTAACCCTTTATTGTTAGTCTGCCTATATCTCCAAAGCTCAAAATGCTCTGTTTTACCCTGTGATGTGATGTGTCCTGTCATGAACTAGTAGTTTGCTAGTTAACAGCTACCTTTAGTTCAGTATTGATTGGCAAATCCAAGACTTGAATTATCCAAATGATTCTAAGGAAGGTGTATGGAATTTAAAAACACTATGGAGCACTTCCTGTATGTGTGTGTACAAGACACCACGAGGTGGAACAGAGTGTTATCTGTTTTCTGTTTTTTGTTTGAGAGAAGGACTCTAAATATGCAGGGTTTGTGTGTTAAGCCTGTGTGAATAAACAAAACAAACCTCCAGGAATATTTCTGATGAGGAAACTACATATGTATTAGCTAACTGTATATTAAGCTTTTCCCAAAAAGGAAGAAGGGCAATAGCGTCTTTTCCCTTGCTGAAATTCACCAAACATTGTCTTTATTCCGGCTTTAAATCCTCAATCTCGGGAATTGTTGACAACACTGAATATATCACTCTTCGCTGATTCACTGGTGCCCGGACTCGCACTTCCGGAGTTTTTGCGAACCGTCTATTTTATTTTAATTCCTGACCTAGATGCTGGAGAGAAATTAAATTGAGTGGAGGCACTAGGTGGCGCCAGCTTGGCTACAACATTATAACATCAATCAGAAAATAGTGTAATATGGGCCATTTAAGAAACGTTTTGAGAGTTTAAAGATGCACCATGTAACTTTACTGGTGTAAACTACCTGCTTGTCTCTAGTTTTCCTTCTTTGTGTAAGACTGGACTTGTTGGCATATGACTGGCAGTTTGGACTGTAATTTCACAACAGTAATCAGGACTTGGAAATGAATGCGTGCACTATTATTCAGACTTGGACTCAAACATGAGAAATATATACATGGACTGGAAACTATAGGAAAACAAAGGGCTTTTACAATGCACTTAATCTAAGACATATCTTTGTCCTGAACACATTTGTTTTTGTACGAAAATCTATAATTATATGCATACGACTTATTTAGTATATTGCCAGTTAGCACTGTCTCTCTCTCTTGCATTTTCCACAAGAAGCTAAGACATTTTCAGGTTTCATTACAAAAATGGATCCTTATCCGATGCAGTCAAGATTTGTTTCATTAACAAATTTTGTGGTAATTCATTAAACTGCTTTTTAATTGAGGCTACTACCAAGTTTAATGGCCGAATAATATGCAAAATTGACTCTTGTGAGCTTTAAACCATGCTATAATGCTATAACCTCCTCAAAACCATTTGTGTTTTGTTTGTTCATATATGTTTGAGTGTCCCTTTATTATTAGTCTGTCTACATCTCCAAAATTCAAAATGCTCTTTTCCACTGTGTGATGTTATGTAGTGGTAGTTTTCAAGTTAACGGCTCCTTTTACCTTTTGTTCAGTAGAGATCGGCAATTCCTGGGCTGAAATCATCCAAATGACTGTAGCAAAGCTGTATGGGGTTTAAAACCTGACTGGAGCACTTCCAGTACTGCCATCACAAGGTGGAACATCTTGTTTTGTTTGTGTTTTCTGTTTGATAGAAAAGGTCAACCTAAATATGCAGGGTTTGTGTGGTAAACATGTGTGAATTAAACAAAGCACATCTCCAGGTCTGTTTGTGATGAGAAAACAGCATTATCACAGAGCAGAGAATACTGTAATATGGGCATTTTACTATATAACTATATATATCAATTGTTTTATCAATCGAATGATGATGAAACATCTCAGATTGCCAAACAAGATACTTGAAACCACAATACTCCTTTACGGTAAATGGATTTAATATTATATGTTACAATAGCGGTCTTACCTTCTCGTAGTAGCGTAGCTCGTAGTCCAGGATGATGCCGTTGGGCTGCTCGGGTTGCGGCCATGACAGTGTGAAGCTATTCATGGTGGAGCTGATCTGGTGCATGATGGGAACAATCGAAGGAGCTGCGGGGCACAAACACAGCAAGAGAGGTACACGTCAGGACAAATCACAGACAGGATTAAATATGGACACTAATGCCCCGAGGTAAACAAACAGGTAGGCAGAGGTGGATTGTATGCTACAGCAATGATAAGATACACTGCAGGAAAGAGTTTGTATTGTGGAAGGCTTCAGGCTTCACATATACAAAATAATACTACAGAGTTCAGAGTTGTGATATAGTAGTAAGTAGGAATGCAACAATCCAGCTATTTCAGTTGTGATACCGATTCCAGCCCTATAGCTTTAAGTATTTGTCGATACCCGATATCATCTCATACCAGTGCAGACTGAAAACAGCATTTATTTCCTTTAAACAAAAATAAAATAAAACAAAACAGATCCAAATGTGTTATGAGGCTGTTATTTATCCCTCAAGTAACCACAAAACACTTTTGTATTAAATAAAAATTTGAACATTATGAGGTTTTCTGGGCCAACTGCGATCAGTAAATTGTCTTATTAAATCAATTTGTCTGTCCAGCCTGGAAATCAGCTGAACTGATATTAGGAAGCAGACGTCCAATCCAACAAAAGTTTTGTTTTTCTATCCGTGTCAATATCCAATACCAGTATCGGATTGATAAGTTACTAGTAGTAAGGTTGGCTGAGTGAGCCACTGTGCCACCAACCTTGTCTCAAGATGGTAGCCAGTTTCATTTGTGGTGTTTACAAGTTCTTCCTAGTTTTGGGTTAGTTTCCTCTAGGATTTCCTTCAGAAATCCAGACTTTCTAAGGACTACTACCATTATTTGGTGTCAAAAGTATCCGAAATCAGCCACTAAAACTAGTATTGAAACTAGATAATACTTTGGATAATCATTTGAGCATGTATCAGTGCTGAAAAAGTCACATTCACAGGACAGAGCTTGAGCTGTCAAGTAGAAGTAGAAGTCACCCACGAAGCACTACTGAACCTACCTGGATGATGAGGGATTACTCACTTATAAGATCACATGGAACATGGAACATCAAATTAATGCTGAAAATCACATTCTATTGTTTAAAGAAAGAGTGAAAGAATGAAAACACTACTAATATTTATACTTACACCACTGCTACTACTTCCACTCCACTACAGCAATTTAGCAGTTTTCAGTTTGTCAGAAAAAAATAAAACTTTACGACAATAGTGAATGTCGAAAATTGCTCTTGTTGCAACTCAATGCAGACAATCGAAATCAAAATGAACAATTCCCTTCACAAGTGATTGCAATTGTCTGGTTTTTGGCAGCTCTTAATGGAACAACATATTGGGACAAATAAACTCACAGTGCCAGCGTTTTTGTTCACGTTGCCATCATTACAGTTTATCGACAATTAAAGGAACGCAGCTATTAGCTCTTTGCACAGAACCCAAGATGAAACAAATGACACTCCAAGCTGCAAGCAGGTAGAAATGAGATGATTTCAAGTCCCTCTCAAAGTGTACTTTAGTGTGTTGGCCCAGACTGGTTGCCATATTTGGATGAGGTACAAGGCTACATACACTCAGCAGAACTCACAGTAGCTTTTTTCCAGTGCAGTCACTCCGAGGTCTGGCGCAGGTTCAGCTAGAAGTCAATTTGGATTTGAGCCACTGGTATTTTTGCTACCTGAACGGACTATACAATGGAGAAACAGCGTGACATTCTCAAGTTTGGAGCACAGAACAGTGAGCATCAAAAGACTTAGACGTGTCAGGTAGCCAAATATAATTTCATCATACTTGAATTTAATAAATACGTTTTTGGTTTGAGAATATAAATACGGACATTGCTTTGAAGAGCGGGGAATTAGTAATATTTTGAGGTTCTCGTTTGAAGTGGAAATTTTGCTTGCAGCCGTAAAAGCCTCTTTTTTTTTATTTTAAAGATCCACTACACTACTACTCTGAATCAAACACAACCCATACACACAACACATTTTTTATGAGTAAATAAAAATAAAACATACAATTTTAAAATCATGACACTAGTCTTTTTGCTACTTTTTGCTGCTTATTTGGAATGTATTATTACCATTTACATTTTTGCTCTTTGTTCTTATAATATATTGATCTGTGTGCTTCTACCAAATAATTGCTTTACTACCGTGTTTTTCGGACTATAAGACACACTTAAAATCCATACATTTTCTCAAAAATTTACAGTGCGCCTTGTGTATTAATTCTGGTTGTGCTTGCTGACCTTGAATTAATTTTATGTGGCACAAGGCACTCAAAAATCTGTCAACATTTCTTAGTACAGGGGTCTCTACCATTGTACTTGTATCATTTTGATGCTTTATTTTGTGCACTAATTACTGAATAATGACTTATGTTTTATAGGCATGTGAGAATTATTCTGTGTTGATCATGCTGATTCACCCAATATCTGTACCTTAGAATGACAACAGGGAAGAAAACATTCTGTCTATCTATGGTTCTATAAAAAGACATGTTATTCTGAACTTTGAAATGCTACAAAGCAGAAAACTGACGGATGTGGACCCCATGGCATGTACCCACCCATGATAAAGTGCACCGGGTCAGCATTATTGTTAATTTTCTTGCTGTATATGCTAAATCAACAAGTTAATATTTTGTCAGATGGGTAGTATAAAGCTACCTCTCTTTCTGGGTTTTGTCAGAGGCCTCGTTTCAGGGTGACAGTTGTACTTGGTAATCAACTTGAATCTCTGTGAACTGCAAATGTTAAAATAAAGTGGCCTGTACTCGGATCCTTCAATCTCTTGTGCTTTTTCCTAGGACACGCACTGAATTCTTCCGAAAAACCCACAGGCATCTAACTATACCTCTAATCTAAGGTTCGCTTTGCGTTTTTAAATACTAAATTTATTGTGACTGCTAAAACTAGTAGCTCTCTGTTTTTTTTGTTGTGTAAATGTAGCATTACGGCTACCATAGTCAGGAGCCTCGTGGAGTAGGTGAGTCGTGTCCTTTAGTGTGACAGGAGCTGACCGCACCTGTGCACAAGGAGCGAGCTGTTTTTTCAGCACTTGTAGTTTATACAAATTAGCCATGTGGTTTTAAGTTTAATTTCTGAAAAATGTAAACTAATGTGCATAAAGCTGCATTAAACCCAATGTATATTTGAGTCCTCCTCATAGGAAATAAAAAAACTAACTTTAATTATCCACCCACATTCACATTCATAATACACATTCACGAAACAGGGAGGCAACATCGGACGAGTTAAGTCACAATCTACCAATGGATCCTGTCTCAAGTGTTGTCCGTTGTTTGGCTTAATGCGTCTTATGATCCGGTGCGCTTTATGTCTGAAAATAGATGAGAGAATTCAACATTACTGATATTGTGCCTTATAATCCGGAGCGCCTTATAGTCCAAAAAATATATGGTAATTAAGAAAGTTATTTTAAAATGTTGGAGAGGGCGTGTTGGATTATATACAACATATACTTTTCAATGTGTACAGTCCCTATGACATGTGGACCATAATAAGCCTATTAAATGAAACCCTGTGACCACTGCTGTACCTCACTCCATCCTGCAGTATAACTTTACCCAAACACAAACCTGAGCTGTCAATTTACCCACACTTTACTACTGCCTGTCCGACCTGTCACTCCTCTGCCTCTGCCCACATCTCTCCATCATGTTTTGGCTGTGGCTCGGAAACAGGGCATCTGTGGTAAAAACACTGTGCAGCAGGGAGACAAAATGGCATACTTATTTATTGAGTTCAACAGAGAGGTTCTGTAAAACTCAAGAATTCAAGCACCAAAAACTGCTTGAATCTTTCTTTTCTGGTTTACAGAAAAGAAGGTCAATAGCAAGCATGTCAACAATGGTTTTATATCAATTTCTCTACTAAAAGGATTTTTGCAAATAATTTCATCTTTTAATAATATTTTTCATTCCAGTTGAGCAAAAACCAGTATCTTGTATTTAGAAATCAAGGTAGAACTTCTCCTCTTATTACTCTTACTCTCTCTACTACTATTACTACGACTTCCCTACTACTTATACTCCTATTACACAATTAACACTACTATAATACTACAGCTATTACCGACTACTACATGTTGCTTTGAAACACAAATGAAAGTGAACTGCACAATCTATAATTCTGATCTCAAGCTACTTTGCATTGAATGAAGTTGTACAAAACCATCCCTGAACCTTAGAACACAACTGTAAAATCCATACGCCAGTCGCTGCTAGAATGCAGCTCTTGTTGTGGTGTGTAAATGGGTCGTGTTTAGGCTACCTCTCCGACCTCTCCCTTCTCCGGCCTCTCTCTCCTCTCCCCTCTCACCTCTCCCTTCTCTCCTCGCTCCTCTCTCTTCAATTTTCTCTCTCCTCTCTCTTCTCTCCCCGCTGTCTTCTCTTTCCTTTCTCCTCTCTCATCTCCCCTCTCCCTTCTCCATCCACTCCCCTGTCTCTCCTCCTCCATCTTCCCTCTTCCCTCTCTCCTGCAGACAGAGAGAGGGCTGTGGTTTCAACCCAGCCTCTCAGCCTGGTTCACGCTCCACTGACCAGGGCCAGCGCTGCCTGCACCGCATTATCAATTACCGGCCACAAGCACACACTGTTCCTGACAGACCCACGGGAGGGGCCCTGCGCTCTCAGATTCCTGTACTGAGGAGATGGGGCTAAACAGGATGCTGTTTACACAACTTTAAGTCAGGCTGGTTCTGATATGTGCTGAGATGCACTCGCCAAAACAGGAAAACTTTGGTAACACTACACTGTGACAATATTCTGTTTTGGTAAATATACGTATGTGTTGCTAGATTTTGTGTTGCATGGTATTTTATTTATGTTTATCTGGTTTATGTCCATTGTTTCCTTACCATTGTTGGTATGTGTCGTCCATTACATTAGTTGTAGATCTGCTGTCTGTTACCATTGCCTGTACCCTTAACCTTACTATTGTTGGTATGCTTATCTTATACTGCCAAGCTACAACAGTTACTCTTTGTCCACACTTGTAAATAGATCATAATGCAAAATGTC